CAATTATGAAAACCTGTGAACAGCAATTTGAAGCTGAAATATTTGCTGAAAGTGGATTTCAAGATTTTAAATTATTTTAGTTGTCAGTGATTCAGACACAAGAAGTGATAGAACTCATTTGGGAAACAAGACTGATTTCTTTCAATGAACTTCATGCACTGAGTGCTCTTTCTATATAGGAAAGGAACATTAGACTTTCTCATCCATCACACCCAATAGAGCTGGTAGTTAAATGCTACAATTCATACCCTAAACAATGCAGATTCTTGATCAAGCTTGCCAAGACCTATTCCTGCAACTTAAAAATATTCCCTTGATTCTCAGAAATTTAAACAACACTTGGCATATTTGAATATATTTCTTTCTGCCTATTGACCTTATATTCCCCTTATCAAGATAATAGAATTTCCTTAGAAGTTGCCTTGGGCATTTCTGCAAGGTCAAAAGCACATAATGCACAGACAGGGATGAACCTACTTTGAATTACTGCATCCATTCATGCTCCAGTGGTTCTGCAACCCTGATGGCAACAAATGAAGTCTGGTGTGTTGGGAGTACAGCACTCAGAAAGCACAGAAAAGGTATGGTCAGAAAGAGCCTTGACAGGCTGTTAAACATTTACCACCACTAACACAGACCACAGTCACAGAGCAACGGGGGAAGTTGACAGAACTACATTATTGCAACCACAAATTCACACCTGCCAAGAGACACCCTAGTCATTGCACTGTGTTGGTGTCCTGATAGAATGAACAGCACATTCAAGGGATGAATTTGCCAGGAGGTTCTGAAGAACTGAAACAGTTTTGTTTCTTATCTGAAGTTATTTATGGTGGGTTTTTTGGAAGCTTCATTCAGTCTAAAAAATAATTTCTTGATTGATGCTTGATGAGGACTCTACTTGCTATTGCAAAGTAGTACTAAGAACCAGCAGCAGACAAGGTTCTGTGCCTTAAATAATTTCTGTCACTTAGAGATAGTTTCTAGTCCTTTTCTTTTGTTGAAATTATAGCCTTATTCATTTTATAGTATTAAATCAAAGGCATACACACTCTGGAAGGACAGCTAACCTCAGGGCAGTTTACAGCTCAACCTCTGTCTCTGGCTAGCAGAGTTGAAAATCAGCAGCTATCATGGAAACATATTGTAAACCTGGGATACTGCTGTGAATAATGAAGCATATCAAGTGTTTGGATAAATCAAAGGAATCTAAATGGGCCTAAAACAGCAAAGAGTAAAAGCATTAGGCCTTGTCTTCTTTCCAAAATCTTCCATTAGTACCTTCACAGAGACCAGTTTTCTACCTCTCAGATACTGATTCAAAATTCCATTTAAGAAAATGAAGAACATGATCCTGCCATCTCCTCAAAGATTTAACTTTATGGTAGAAAGATTTTATTGTTGTTATTTGCCATTAAAAGTAATAATTCTGGCATAGTTTTCTTTTGCTTGCATTTGTGCTATTTTATTAATGTTTCCATAGTAGCGTTTAGCACTGTAAAAAGAATTCCAATTTTTAACCTGATTATTAGTCTTCATTTTCATCCTCAAAGCTGGTATGTTTTCGAAGAAGCTCAGGGAGGGGGAAGGAATAAGACTCAGACACTGCAGTCCATCGCTACGTCTGAGCACATACACTTAGATTGCTTTTCTTTGATGCTGCTGCCAATTTTATTCACAAGCGTATAAAAAAAAGGTCATGACATTTAGAATTACAGTACTTTGGAAATTAAATGTTCCTTTAAATTTTTAATTTCTGTAAGTAATTTATCATGGAATAATATTTGAATATGATTGAACGAATATGCGAAGATTAATGCAAACTGTCTTCAAACTGGAAGTTCACAACCACATATGTTTAACCTTGTTGTGTAATAGGTATAAAAACATTGATATGTGAGCTCCAAGAGCTGCATTCCCATATTGCTGGAAGCACTTGCACTGTTACTCTCCTTAGTATTTTTCCACTGGCTTATCTGTATAAGGCATGAGGTTTAGCTCTCCGTCATTTTCTACTTAACATTACACTTCACAAACCTGGCAACTAAATAAGGAGCAAAAATGAATCCCAGTGATCTGCAAAGTTTTTTCACGTGAATTTTTATGTGAGAAATCAAACTACTGATTTTTAGGCTAATTCAGCAATATGAATAATATTATTGTAGCATATGAGGAAACAAAATAATTTTGTGTGAACATTAGAGAAAGCACTAAGATACCATATAACCAACATTCTAGTCAGAAGCTCCCAACTCAGAGATGTGGGCACCTGATGAAGAGGAGGTCACTGACGTGCTCTCATGGCCAGATTTGGGAGTCTATTGTCAAGGAAGGGACTTGCCCATCTCACTGTCCTGGTTTAGGGCACACAGTTTAACATCACAGTCACCCCAGGACACACACACAGGTTCATCAGATGGTTTAGGTTGGACCTTTCAGATCACTGAATCCAGCTGTGAACTCAGCACTGCTGTATCACCTTAGCCATTGGTCAGGGCTTGTTTCTCCAAAGCCAGCTGACACTCTTTGCTCAGCAGAAAAAGGAATCTTACAAAACGCAACCGCAGACTCTGGAAATTTTTTTGTGGTCAGCAACTACAATTCATAATTTCCTCATACACTAAAGAAAGCTGACTGAGCCCCAGTCTGGAAAGGGCAGACACACACAATTCCAAATCCCTGCTCAGATGCTGCTAAAATTGTACCTGCATAACATTTATGCCAGTGTGTATAATTTATTTGTGTTTTCTAGTGGAAACTCCTGGGAGCACTTTGTTAGAAGACTTACAAACTCTGAAATATTCAGTTTGAGACTCCATTGCACTCAGTGGGTCAACTGAAGAGACAATGTCTGAAGAAAGGAGATTGAGGAAGATAAAGGAAATCTTTAACTGAAATGTTACTGGCACAGAGATCCAGAAGAAAAGCAAGTTATAAAGCATCTTTGCTATTGATTATTTGATTCTCAACTCTAAACCCTTTTGTGGACATTTCAGTACTTAATATTAGTAATCAATAACAATAACAATAATAATATCCATGTCACCAGGGCAATGGCAGGAGCATTGCTAGTTCAAGTCTGGCCTCTTGAAAAAGCCTTCAGGAAAGTTGCTCTGCAGATCATCCAATTCATTAAATTAATGCTTTGTTGGCTGGAGTTAAAGTTTGAGTTGGGCAAAACAAAAGCCTGGGTTTCAGAATACATATACCCTGTCAAATTGCATTTATCAAGATAAGGGTTATTAGAATCTTTTTTCTCTTGTGTGAATGAAATTGTAAGCTTGAAATGTCACTGAAGATTTATTAATCTGATACTCTTTCTGATAAGGACAGAGAAATAGAAAGGGCAGAGAAAAAGAAATATTTCTTGTAGCCTGATAAGGACTACAAGAAATAGAAAATATGAATAAGGCAATTTATCAGTGGGCATTCTGTAACCAAAAGATTCAAGCCACACAAAGTGATAGTACAGTTATATATCTATTTCAGAACACTGCCATTTACAACACTTGGTCGAAGTTTGAGAGCTGTGCAGAAAAATGTCTGCAATTTTCAGAGAAGGATATTTAATTAAACCTGAATTTTCAAACTGTAGGATGGACTAACACTTGATCTACAAAGTAGATGGAGGCCTAATATAAAAACTGGTGCTGTGCTAGAGTATACAATGTGTGCAGGGAGAACCACCAGCAGGATCACCAGTGTTCTTAGCTGAGGTGACAGGGCCTAAACTAACCAAAAGAAATGTTTAAACATTAAATGTTTAAATATTTTTTCCCTGTTTCTGTGCCTGATACCTGTAAAACGTCCACAGTGGGAGGAGTAAGAGTGAACAGAGGTTCACAATTATTTTGGGTCCAACAGGCCCTTGTTAAAGCTTCTTGTTTGTTATACTCCATGTGATGCACAATACATAATTTAATAATAATTTAATAATAATTTAATAATAAACACATGTCATTACTCAACATGACAGAACAAACCCTGACTAACCACCACTGGTTTTGTGAGCTCCCAATACAGGCAGGAGTCCAGCAGCAGCCAGTGAGTTAAACCTTCTGCAATCCTGAGAGAGGGGAGACAACAGGATTCTAAACCAGGCCTAAATCCAGGCTCATGCTCACTGAGCCAGCTCACCAGAACATCTGCACTGGTACCAAGAAACCACAGCAACAGAAACCAACTTTTTCCTTCCAAAGGGCTTTCCTCATAGCAGGGAGAAAACTTAGACAGAACCTGGCTGTGACACCTCCCCTCCTGCTGGACTTCTCCTTTCAGTCAGTCCCTTCCCTTCTGATAGAACCAGTTCCCTTCGGATGAGATCACTCCGAGACAGGCTGTGCTTGCTTCCTTGGAAAAGACCTGAGTGAATGAGCTCACCAAGCTTTCAGACCCTCAGAGAGAACTCACCAGAGAGCTGGCAGGGAAAAAGGCCATTTGTGCTGAGACTCCAGCCTTCAGTTTGATACAGCATCATTTGCAATGACTTTGTTATTGAAACAGATTTATACATGAATACAGATACATCTGTACATTCAATATGTATTTGACTTCTAATGGTAATATTAATAACAATAGAGATTTAAATGATAATTCAGGTCCCATGTAGTACACGTGCAACTTTAAATGACTTTTTAGTTAACACAGTCTACTGTTTTTTTTTTTTTACTCACAAAATAATGAACCATCAAGTAATATATTTTCTTTTGTACTTTCTTCTACAATTCTTCAATATTTCCATTTGAAATGCCTTCATTTAAAATTGAGATTCATTAGCTAGAATTTAGTTTTCCTATGAGACTCTCTCAAGTAGGAGTTGGTTTTGCAGCAATTAAGGTGTCTGAAAGCACTACCTGTTTAGAAAATGGTTAGATGCACTTTATCTCTTTTTCAGAAAGCCTTACATAGAAAATGTGCCAGTTAAGAAAACTCTTTCTTACACTTTTATACATAGCAGGAGCCAAATTATCTGCCATGATTTCCTTAACAGTTCAACTTACCAGTCTTCTCCATCTTGTGTTTTAAACTTTCAGGTCCTGGCAGGCAAGGGCAGGGCCCTTCACATCGAGCTGTGATGGTTTTGCCAGAAGTACATGCATGGAACTCCATCTTGCACTAGAAGCATTAAAAAAAAAGCAAGAATACTAATTAGGACAAGATATAAAATAGCAGCTATGGATTAAATGAGAAATTGTGTTATCAGTAGTAATGGCATTGGATAGATTGCAAAACTTCAGTCTCTACTGCAAATACTTTTATAAGATAACACTGACTATTCCTAGCCTTTGTTGTTTGCATTACCTACATTTTAGTTCTGACTTTCTTCCAAGAGTTTTGTGCCTGTGCAGTTGCCCTCTCTTCAGTGACTACCCCACAGGTACTCCCCCATTCTGTGTCCAGCAGCACCAGGGTCCGGACACTGGACCAAGGTAGTAATAAAATCAGGTGAAAGATAACAGCACAAGGCTGCAGAAACACAAGTGTTCTCTTTGGCTTGATACCTAATGAACCAAATTCAGCTCCACTTTTTGTCTTCTTCAAGCATTGCTTTTACAAGACCAGAAACCAAGGGCTTTTGATACACAGGGGAGTGTTGCTGTGGTGCCCAGGCTGGATGTCCTCCCTGCAGGGACTGCCCCCTGCCAAGGAAAATGGGAATGCTGGGCTGCAAAATCCTTTTGATCTGAGTTTCATTGAAGATTAATTCTCTGATTCATTTAAAAGCAGTCCAACATGTTTACCCACTGGGACATGACGTGTTACTGAAGGACACGGTGCCTGAGACCATGGTGTTACCACGGAGGATCCAGTGGGCAGCTGGAGCTCACTGGGCAACAGCCACTGCTGAAACCCACAGCATCATCCTCTGTAATTCCAGTGCAGTGGGAGCCAAGAGAACAGAGCAGGATGTTGTTACAAGATAAACACCTCCTGCTTTGAAAGTACTGCAAATATCTTGGCTTTGCCTGTGTTTGTTTTTGTTAAAAGGGCTCATTGTTGCCCAAGGTTCAATCTAGCAGCAGGAGACCATTATGCTATGCCTACATCCCATTCTGTTGTCATTATCCCCCCACCATCCTCAACTTCAATGCATCAGGGTGATTCTATGCTCTCTGTGATGTCCTGCCCTTCTCATTTAGAAAATGCACGGCCACACACAAACATGTGCAAGCTTAGCTTACATTTTACACCAATTTCTCGCAAGACTGAAGGGAATATATGTACTTATTTTTCAACTGTTTACTCCATAAATACACTCTGCACCGAGCACAGAAACAAGAGAGAGCATATCAGAAGGAGAACAGGAGAAAAGACAACACTGAGTGCAGACCTGAAGGCAATGACTTTCTGCAGCATATTCAGATAGTCAATATGTTATTGAGAACACAGGCATAAATCTTCCTGCAGCTGGAGCTGATAATTCAATCCCTTACAGAACATCAATTACTTACATATTTTATTATGCATAATAAATGTAAATTATGTATCTAAGCATTAGCAATTATACTTCAAATACCAGTCTTTAAGATGGCACCAGCCTATTTCAAGCCCATTATTATCTGCAGTTAAGAAAGGAATAACTTTATACTTAGAAACACCAAGTTTTTCCTCAGCTTTCTAGACAATTGATAAAAATTACGACCAAAAAGCTAGACAAAAAACCAAAAAAATAAACTGCTTGAACTGGTTGTATTATCTGAGGACCAGCAGGAAAGCTTGAAGATCACAATGCTGCAGTCATGTGTGAGTAAGTTTACACCCATGATTAACCACATTATATTCCCACCATGCTTGTTTGGGATGTTTGGTGTTGGGGGATGAATATTAAAGAACTCCATAATTTTAAATATTAAATTAGGATAATACAAATGATTTTTCAACACCTAATGTAGGTAAGTCTTTATTCTTTCCCTAAAGGAAAACATGGTGATGTCTTACTTTGCATGTGATGGTGTGCTTACTCACTGTGATAACCTACATTTGATTTAATGACTTTGCCTAAGCCTCACTCAGTGATTATTCAGAGGCAGAGTGGCCACAGAGGATGTCTTAATATGTAAGGATATAGAGCAATAATCACTGTTTGGGTTATTCTGCCACTGGATCTACAGCTTTAAGGAGCCTGCTGGCTTTCACCAGACCATGGAAAATAAAATGATACACAGTACTTGGAAAAACTTTGTCTTTCACACCAAAGGGACATTGTACATCTTGCAGACACGAGTCACAAAGCTCCTTGCAGTGATTGTGCACAGGACTCAGTGGGAACAGCCCCACAGTTTTGGGCCAGTCCCTCTCATTTCAGGGGACTCATTTTGCCACTGATATGACTGGGTATGCCTCAACTCTGCTGAGATGCTTTAGTAGAGATCCCTGGGTTGTGCAAGCTTTGTGTTTTTCTGCAGCCTCCCTGGTGTGTGAACTGCATTTGTTTACTCTGAACCCCAAGGCCCACATAAACATCTCTAAACTATTTTACTGCAAATGGAAAAGCAGCTCTGTTATTTGTTGCTAAATGTATACAGAGATCAATAAAGTATATGAGGGGAGAAATGGTTGAACATATTCATGGAAAATTCATAAATTAATTTATTCAACTAAGATGTGGGAAATTACTGCAGAGTGTGTTTTGGTTAAAGTGTTCCCCTGAGAATCCACTACTCGTATAATGATTCCCTCTTTATTGTCAGTGAATCTACAGCAATGTGTTTTGCATAAGCATTCACATTTGAGGAAGAAAGAAAATAGCTACATAAAATTTATTCCTAGCTATTTTATTCTTGTCTGTTAGTTTCCAGCCTCCAGTTCCCACTAGAGGAGAATCTGGATTTTTTTTTTTTAATGATATAATAAAACAGTGTATCTCTGCCTTTATTTTGGCTGCCAAAACCTGGCAGCCAGGTTTTGATCTAACCTTCAAATGAGTAATCCTGTGAAATAAGTTACTGTGATTTTTTCTGCAAGGCTGTATATTTGACTACTGAATGTTTTAATGGACGTCTTGGTACAGCCCAGTGCATTAATGCCATGAAGAGCTTTGCATCCTGACACAAGCAACTCATGGATTTGCTTAAAATGCAGACAGGTGCAGCAGCACATCCAAGCCCTGACAGCACCTTTCAGTAGCAAAGCAGTGGCATTGAGATGTAATTGCAGGTGCCCCAGGGAGGCCTGTGACATCCTGTGTGCCCAGGATGCTCCTGTTCATCGGGCACAAAGAAGACAGAGCCCTCACAGAATCCTGGGCAATCTCACAGCCTCCATAACAAACTCCAGGGAAGGGGATGAGGAGAGAACACTACCCAGGCTCTCTGAGACCCCTGTTTGGTGTTAGGGCATCAAATCATAGAGCATCCTGAACTGGAAGGAACTCACAAGGATCATCAAACACCAGCTCCTGATTGATTCACAAGCCAAAAATCTATAGCTGAAAATTTCTTGTAGTCATGCTAATACAGGAGAAAGTGTTAGGTTCCAAACTTCTGTAGCTTCTATCATTAATTTAATGTGAATTAAACAGGAGGGTATGTAGGAATTAGTAGACAATATACTTGACGAAGATAAACAGGAAGTCTCATTTAAGAAAGAGTGAACACTGAAACAGGAGGTTAAATTTTATAGTATACTAATTAAGTGTTAAACTCCTGAGATATTACATCATATTAATGGCAGTGTCTCTAAACCTGTTGATGAGCAGTGCTCTTGCCTGGAAGACACTACATTTTTAGCACTCTACAGCTTTTTACATTTTCACCAAGAATGATTTCACTGCAGTGTTTGTTTTATGGTGCATCTTTTGTTCACTCACAATATGTCTCTTCAAAACTACACATACAAATAACAAAAGCTCATTATTTTCTACCTTATCTTTTACCCAGTAGCTGCCACAGGCAGAAGTTAAAATTTCCTAAAATTATAGCATGTATATATTTTTAGTCCAGAGTTTCTTGGTATCAGTAGTGTTTCCTACCTATCTGTCTTAGCAGATAATTAGAATCCATTGGAATTCAGACACCCCTTTGAGAGGGGTTGTTTGTTTACAAGCTTTAGAGCAGTGTTCGCCATTGCTTCCTTAGCTGGGACTCTTATCAGTATTTTCTTTATAAGCCTCTGCTTCCAGTTTTCATCAGATGGAAAAAAAAAAAAATACAGTACTTGGAACACACTCAGATCAAGTGTGGGTTTTTTTAAAAACTTGTCACAACAAAAAAAGCTTCAGTATCTTCTCTACAAATCCGGAAAGAAATGTCAGATGGCGCGCTCCCATTGCATCCTGCTGAACACATACATTAACTTTTAATGGGAATTCTCCAAACTTTTCAGGCTCTGTAAAACCTGAAATAAGGATTGAAAGACAGCAGCCAACCACATGAATTCACGTTCATTAAAAAAGCCAGACACTGGTGTGAAGTCTTGAGGCGAGTCTCGGATTCTGGGCTGTGTGGTCCCTTAGCACTTGCCCTCCCTGCCGTGGGCTCTGAGCCCTTTTGCTGCTCTGCAAACTGAGCCCCACACTCCTGGGTGCTGGGAAGGAGAGGGGCTGCCCTGAGACACAGTGCCTCAGGGTGGGCTCTGAAAACAGGGGCCAAGCTCTGTCCCCAGGACTGAGCACTTGGGCTTTCTGTGGGCACTAGGGGCTGTTCCACGGCCAGACCAACACTGTTAGTACCTGGTGCAGTCATCTCATTTCTCTGGGCACCCTTCTGCTCACAGAGTAAAGCTGCCCACTGCCAGGCCTCCTGCCCTGCTCATGCACTGCTCCAGGACGGGACTGGCTTTGCTATTGCAATAAAAATAAAAGGGAGGCTGGAGGAAAAAAATAATTATAATAAAAACCCACATTTTTTTTTCCTATTAGAATAGCTACCAGGCGAGCACACAACACTTAATCTTTGCAATAAAAGCTGTACAAAGATATCTTAAAATCCTGGAGCTCTAATTAGGAGCTATGTTCTCCTTATGAGAATACATAGCTGGTGTTGATATTAATGGGACTTATGCATGCATACCACTGGTGGAATAAACTCTAATTAACACAACCAATCTATTGTGTAAATACATATTAAAGCCTTTTTAAAATGTGTGCTAGCTCTGGCTTTGAAGCAGATGTTATA